TATGAAAGCTGTCACTTGCCTCTAGAATGTCGCTTTTCTCGTCACGCCAAGGCAGGTGCAGGGTGCACATGCCCCGGTAGAAGTTCTCCGCCTCGTTCCAGTCGTCGCTATTTTCCGCATATCTTCGATACCGGACGATGCGCTCTCTTCTCCGGGGCTTCTTGCTTTGGTGATGCAGGGCAGCGAACTGGGCCAGGGTGACGTTGTCGAGCTCCTTCGCCCTCCTGGAGTACCCGTCGTATATGTCCGGGTACCACAGGTCGGTGGAGCCGGGCGGCAAGGCCTGTATGTCCTTGACGGGCTTGGGGCAATGCACTCGCTCCTCGGGTCGCGAGGTGTCGATGAAGGTGCACTTGCGGCTGGTCTCGCACAGCGGAAACTTCATCAGCACCCACGCGGCCTCCTGCGCAGATGTCTCCTTGGCCCTCAGCGTACGAGAGCAAAGCATTTTCATTAAAGTGCGGTCGTCAAATCCACGCTCTCGTCGCAGCCGTGTAATTTCGTTGTGCAGGTGGGAGTGGTTCTTCTCCGCTTTTGTCACGTATGAGACCACGTACCGTATCAGGCTGAACACGTCCAGGACTACCTGCGCGTCGGTGTTGGACCCGAACGCCTCTAGCACCCATGGCAGGTACGGGTTGGTCCACCTGTCCTTGACGCGCCGCTTGTACAACACTTGGGGCCGCATCACCCCCGTGCGGATGGCGAGCTCGTATGTGGCGTCATCTGGACACTCCACCATTTCCCACACCTCCTTCAGGGTGTCAGGGCAGTCCGGCGCAGAGAGCACGTCTTTGAGCTTGAGGCGCAGCTCGCGCAGCTCCTCGATGTAGGTGGCCCAGTCGGTGCCGTTGTTGTTCTCCTTCCGCTCGTCCACATCGGGGCGCAGGGGCAGCACTATCCTCGTGGTGTCGGTCGGCCAAAACGGCGCCCCGAAGCGACAGTGGCGGTGCATCTCGCGTCTGTCCAAGAGCTTCTTCACAAACCTGTGCCGTACATACTTGTTCTTAAAGCACGTTGACGTGTGGCAGTGCTTATTTCTTGCTGCCAAAGGATGGTCACTATCACACGTCACCAGGTCGTCAATGAAGGCCACCGTCTTGGCCACGTCATCCAAGGGCTTGTCCGGGCCGTCTTCGAGCCACAGCAGACAGTGCGCGTGGGGGGATCCGCGCTGCTGAAACTCGATTCGGATAAACCAGTCCTTGGCGAAGTGGCGCCCCATAGGCCCTTTCACCCGGGCGCGCAGGTTCTTCTTCAGCTGCAGGACGACCTCCCTAAAGTAACTCGCGCAGACCACGGGGTCCTCCCTGATGAGGCGCAGCTTCTCCTCCGGTCGCACGATGTCATCCCCATCACCAGCCTCCCCGTCACCCACCTGCTGCAGCACGCTGTCGATGGCGTCCATGGCCTCCTCCCCAACGCAAGAGGGCTGGTCGCTCGAAGTGGCCTCGGCGTTGAAGCGGTCCATCTCGGCGTGCTCCCGGTGCAGCTTGCGCAGCACACTGATGAGGGTGGGGCTGTGATACTCGGCGGAGGAGAGCGTGACGAACAGGTGCGGCGGTCCGAGCTGGCGGACGGCGGCGAACAAGTCGTAGGAGCGGCCCCGCCAATACTCGGCCGAGTTGGGTAGCAGGCACGGCATGGCGAGACCCCTCTTCTGAGAGGTGGA